AAGGCGATAAGATATAATTCGCAAACAATTGGAATGTGTTTACCAAATGAAGTTAACTGCAGACAACTTGACTTTGAATTTGATATTTCTTCAATGCGATAAATTGGTGGGCCCGAGTGCAAACTAAAATGAATATTGAGGAGAGAATTGGATTAAGAATATTCCGCCGGTTTTATTTTCAGAATTAATGTAACGGTATTATTTATATATACGTATTATTAAAAAAAAAATATTCTCATAAACGTCTTTCGACTCGCTTTGAATTTTGCACTATTATTACTTTTTATTTACACTAGAAAATTTATGAAACGATTGAAGAAAGTCTTGCGCATCGCCAGCGATAAAGATAAAGTTGTGTCTGACATATTCTATATTCACGTTTACGTAGATATTTACATAGCTAGCGGCATATGTGCCGCGTTCGCGTGTGTGCCGTCAGCGCGTAAAAACGTAGTGCTTGTGAATGAAACTGTAGTAGTGCGTACGTAAAGTTATATCGATGACTCAGTCAGTCCCGCTGACTCGTTACAACTCGCGCAATTTACAAGCACTTTCTCAAGGGATCATTGAACTCCATCGAGCACTGTCTCTTTCCGAGGCTTTTTTTTCCCCCTCATCGTTAAGGTAGATTAGATCAATGTAGAAGTTAACGTCAATCATATATCGTAATTAGCGTATAAGATTCTTGAAAACCCGCGAGCCTGAAACAGGTTGACTTGGTTGGAAAATGACTTGAAAAAAAAAAAAAAAAAAAAAAATTTATAATGGATGTGTGTTTGGTTGTATTTATTGAATTATTTACAGCCTTAATCCATATGTTGCATAATGCAATTTGCGTTATTTAGTGTAATTATTAGAAATACAGGAGTTCGAAGTACGTGTTTCTGCATTAATCCATCGAGGTTATAATGATTGTACATTCAGTACGTATATTCAAGAATAGATTCGTGGTTCTTCATTTTGGGCATAACAATTGGTTGTACATGAATAAATGAACTGTGGGCAAGATGTATCATGATGGCCACGATAATCAATGGTTGTGGTTGATGGTATTCTACTGTCTGTATCAACAGTTAACAGCGGCAAAATGGCTATTTCATGTTCCCGTTCGTCGTTGCGTACCGATCTATAATTTAACAAAATGCACCGTTCGAAATAATCGATTGCTGAAGATAATTATTACTCCACATACTTATACACTCGCACAAATAAACGCATGGGTCATGTAATCGTGTTCCGCTTTGACGAGCATCGACGAAGCGCGTAAAGGCGTGTTCTTAATTATACAGCGGTGTGATAGAAAATTGTGTAATATCTTTTCTTTTTTTTTTCTTTTTCTTTTTTATTTTTTTTCCATTATTGATACAGTCGGTCATGTCTTATCTCGTAACGTCTCTGTCCGTTTGAGATAAAACGAAGTAAATTGTGTTGTCGAATCTACGACCGCAACAACGCGATAATGAAATCGGTATAATTTACAATTCATACTTTATAATTCCGTTTTTACGAGGCACAGAAGTGAGCGGTAAAAGATTAATATGCTGACGCTTTGCGTCGCGGTATTGCCAATAAAAGTTATTGTTATTGCGAACGATGCTGCTAATTTAAATATCCGCGCGCGCGAGTGCGCGCATGTTACGTACTTCGTGTGTGTATGTGTGTGTGTGTGTGTGTGTTTGTGCACGCGCGATTGACGTTTGGATGACGGACGTCACGTTATTCATGAATTATGGATACAATTGAAGCGCTTGATATCGCTGAAACATCGCGATGTGGCTTTTCCACCACGTTTATACCCGAGAGAGAGAGAGAGAGAGAGAGAGAGAGAGAGAGAGAGAGAGACGCCTCTCCCCGCTCGGCTGTACTGGGTCGAGACTTTTTGGCTGTTATCAACGCTAGCAGATAAGAGCCTTCCTTGTTAATTAATGAATTAATGCCCGGGCCTGATAAAATCGGTCGAGGTCGAGCAAGCCATTGAGCCCCGGACTCTTTAATCCGCGTCACCGAGGGCAAATCACCTTCCGCGTAATAAAAAAACCTAAAGGCCGTGCCAGAGTGCACGTAATTAATTGCGCAACAGATTATTGATTATTCGCGGACGTGTTGAGAAAGTTGAAGCGGGCAAATGATATAAGATAGCGGGCAAACTCTTGCCGCTAATGACGTGGTTTTTCTCAACGATTTACTTTTCCTGCGATCAAGTGAGAAAGATATATAGTACAGTCGTAGAGACGATATTTATTTGTAGGCAAACATTTACGTAACCTTGTTTATGCCTGTTCTACGCATAAACAGTCGCAAGTCGTAAGCCGTAAGAAATTCACCATCGTCACAGGTAAGTGTGAGAAGAATAATAGACCGTGATTGGTTGATTTCTCACGGCTTACCGCTTACGATTCTATCGTAGAACAGGCCTTACGTCCGGTTCTACAATAGATATTTAAACTTAAGTGAGCCTTGAAGATAAATACATATTCGGATTATATGACAAAATACAACGTCATAATTCTTTAAATTATTAATAGTTTGCGATATCATGGATTTCAGATTTTATCGCATAAATATGTAATGTATTTTTATAATTCTACCGCTTCAACGTCAAATATATTTTTTCACTATTTTCCATATATCTTACGTACATCGACAAGCGGCAACGCAGAGGAAAGAACTTTGGCAGGAAGTTAATGTAGCCGGGAATGTGAAGTTTGCGAGATTCCGAGGTATTTCTTGTTCGAGTTTGTAGAGAACACCGTCCTGCTCATATAATTATGTTACGCAAGGATGTTACATCGTCTTGCCGTCTGCAGGTCTTATTGTGAGTGGTAATTTGGTTTATGGGGCAACACACACACATTTGGATTGTATCCAGAACGCGGTTAGTGGACTCCGTACTTTACGAAGACCTATTTTCTCCGGTGGACTTGTTGAGCGATATCAATGTTAATGCATGCGCATTTTTTTAAAAGAAACTTCCTTAAAAATACGAAAGCGTACGGCGTTATACTATATTCGTTTTATCTTTTCACAATTGTTAAAAAAATGTTATTAACTTTTAAACATCTCTTCGGTACGGTGCATTCAACTTTTTCTATTCCTTATATACTACTTTATTCGTAAAGATACGTACATTTACTTGGTATCGTTTCGAAAAATTTTGTTTATTTTTATAAGCGATTAAAGTTACGAGCAATTGAATTAGATTAGGTATGCTATAGAATTTTACGCCCAGTGTGGCGTTTAAGGGTTCATCATGTACGTTATGTAATATCATAGATTTTGCACGTGTAAAAAAATTAGATGGTTCGAGATTGAAATCGTACAAAACTAGAACTCAACGAACGCTAATAATCTATGTATGTGCCATTAGTGCGTTATTTGTAGTGATTGTTTTTTTTTTTTGTTAAAAAAGAAGAAAAAAGCCATGTTACTCCGATGAAGCCACAGAAATAGTACATGCGAACAACGGGATGATGTTGCACGTAAGTTTCGCAAGTGGTTCGTAAAAATCTGGAAATGCTGGGTGTTTAAAGGGACACAGCTGTATCGTTTCTCCGTAGCGGAGAAACGCCGCCATATCCGATTGTCTCGGTTAGGTACACACGTTTGCGATATCCACCGTATCGATCATAATTTCTATCGAAACGCGCAGAGTAGATGCGCGACCGAATAGCGACTTTGCAACGGCGAGGCAGGCAACGCTAACATTGACTCGGCATTCATGCATTAGCGTACGGCAGTGTAAACGCTTTGCTACATTCATGTGTTTCCTTTCCCGCGGCAAACGCGATCGATGGCAAATATTACTTTGGTCAATTCCAGCCAGGCAGTCTATTTACTTGTTTGTGGTATCACTTTGCTGCGCCGATACGGAAAAGTCGAGAGAGCGAGAGAAATAGCGGAGCGAATAGGAGAGAGAGAGAGAGAGAGAAAGAGAGAGAGAGGACGAAGGAGGGGCGGATGCGAAATACCGATACGCGGATGTGATTCCACGGTTTATATGCACGATGCGCTTTCGTGCATCGACTAGCGCACGCGTAGTTACGAATACCAGATTCAGCCACTTATCTCCCCCAACGAACCTTTCGACTAGTTAACTGTTACGATATGTGTAATGATGATGAATGATTCGGAATTAGTCTCAATTTCGTACTACTCTGAATTATGTCGTGAACGAAGGTAACGAGAGAGGAGTGTTTTCATTTATATTTCATCACTATCAACTGTCGTTGCTGTTTCGTTATCTGTGAAATGAAAAAAGGAGGAACGATCTTTACAGTGGTAATTAAATTATTATTACAAATATGTACTTTTTTTACATAGACAGGCTTCAACACATTTGACATTTCTGAGAAATTATCTCCTTCTCGATGGATTAGCAGTATTTTTCATTAATCCTCTGAATGATTTGAGTATCGCCTTTTCATTCATAAACAACTCCAGATTTCTAGAACCGACAAAATGTATGTTCAACTACTAAATCCCTACATATATATAAATCTATATATCAATTACGAGCATTAATTTAGTTACTAGCATTATCTGTTAATCGGATTATTATATAATGTGATCTAAAGAGAGAGAGAGAGAGAGAGAGAGAGAGAGAGAGAGAGAGCTCTTTTTCCATTTATAATAATTGCTAGTTTTCTAACACAGAGTTTGCAAACTCTTTTGAAATCATTGCGGCCCCTGCACTCCGATAAAGTCAATTCACAAACATGGATTACATGTGAATTTGAGAAAACTGGAGTAACTCGGTCTAAAAGCGGAAAGTTTGTTTTACCATTGTCGGTATTCGATCGGATCGTTCATGCGCGGATGCGCAATAACGATGCGATCGGCCGTCCACAATTCACGAGAAAACGCGCACCGATGAGATATTCGCTGGCGATTACACGTGTTCGCATCTTAATAATCCTCGTTTGGCCGGTTGATATAAGAACGATACCTGCCTAGAGTGTTCGACGTTGTTATTAACGATGCAATGTATTTCTATGTTTCAGGTGCGATGGAGTCTCGCGGAGCCGGCTTCTACTATGAGTTGAGGCTTCGTAATTAATCGTGAGTACACGAATACCTCGGCGCTTGTGTACGTGCGCACGTACACATGGCGGAACGAGTACCGTGCGTTATAACGAGAGAGCGCCGCGAAATGATCGTTAAGCGATGCCAGTACGCACGTACCGTGCATATGTAATGTCTCCCAAATTGCGAATTTAATATCGCCAGGTTTTATTGCCTCGCCGCTCTCGCTTCCTCCATCCTGTGTAATTTACGTTCGACAATTACGATTATATTAATCGCGGCGCTCTCGTGTCTCATTAATCGCGTCTCATTAATCGCGTCTTCTTCCACCGCGAGGCGGTAGAAAGTCGAATAGCCAGCGGCAATATTCGTAAGCGTACGCACACGAGCGTGTTTCGATGTGTCCCCCGATCATTGATCTTTTTCTCTACGTAACGATCGAACGGTAGATGCGTCAAGAATACGGGTTGCATTAATATTTCACTATCGGATTTTCTATTTTTATATCGCAAGCGCTATGTACGAACTTTATATATATATATATATATGTGTGTGTGTGTGTCATATTAAACTTTTTTTAAACGTTTCATAAAATAGCGCTTCTTTGAACTTCCTATATGACTATAGAACACTATAAAATGCATCAAACACGTGTCATAACAGAAACAAAAACAATGAGAGAGAGAGAGAAAGAGAGAGAGAGAGAGAATGAAAACTCCATTCTATGAAGTACTCTTAATATTTTTTTTAAGTTTATGAATCAAATTATAAAAGTTTTAAGATATTATTTGCTCATAACATACGGATTATTACGATGCGTAAGGATCATTATCGTTTTATTGAACATTAATTTCTATCATTGTATTTCAACGGATTTCATTATTGAATAAAAAATGTTTAATAATCGTCTTTTGCGATATTTCGAGCATTTCGTTGAGTTTCTCCAGCTCGCCCCTCTCTCTCTCTCTCTCTCTCTCTCTCTCTCTCTCTCTCTCTCTGCTACAGTCCGATCGGGTCCGCATTTATTCGCTGAATAAAGTGCTGTTTGAGCGTTAATATGACTTCATTCCGCAATCGATTTGAATTCGATTCGCCGCGAATGAGGGCGGCGGCGATTTCCATCGTGGGCGTCGCGGCATTCTCGAAAGGGATTACGGGCGCTCGGCCCGGCGCATTTCTTCGTATCGATCGCCGTCGCGAATACTCCCACATAATTCGCTTATTACAGCTTCCGCGTATCTCTGCGTTTTCCCCACGGCATAGCCGAGTTCACGGAAAAAGTATGCGCGCTTGGTCGGGAGGAACACCTTCTCGTGTTCGTGCAATCTCTCTCTCTCTCTCTCTCTCTCTCTCTCTCTCTCTCTCTCTCGCACGCCACGTTTCTTGTTTCTCATGCTACGCGCTACGAGCATCGCCGCTATAATTGCAGCCGATGCGACGTATGTACGCTAGCATGACGCCCGGTCGCCTCGTTGCGTACGCGCGCTCTCGTATTGGTGCACGGATGTGCATGTGCATCTGCGTGTGTATTTGGCGGACGCGTGGGGAAGTCCCCGTTAACGGCGCTGTAGCGCGTTCGTGCAACCGTTGTATTTGCGCTCCGATTCGAGAGAGATAGACCGAAGGCGGGAGGGGGAGAGAGAGAGAGAGTGACTACTCCGGTGGTGCTCAATAGAGAAAGAGAGAGAAATATCGGCGGCTGTTCGAAAAAGAGAGAGAGATTGAGAGCGAGAGCGACACAGAGAGTAGTCGAGGGATGGTTTTGCTCTGCTGGCTCTGTATTGATTGCTGTGCTGCTCCTCCACCTCCACCATCTCTTGCGACGATCTCTCTCTCTCTCTCTCTCTCTACTCTACTCTACTCCTATCCCGCGATCCCTGCCGCCCGCACACCAACGTGGCCGCCCGTAATGTCGGTTCGCTCTCTGCGAAACCATCAAGATCCGAGGTCCTCGTTGCGCCACGTATCTCTTCCCTCGAAACGCCCCGACGAGAGAAGAGTCCGCCTGTAATTGACGCAGATAGGAGTGCCATCTGCTACGGCACGAACGGTCGGGGAGAGAACGGAGAACGCGCGTAATGTCCGCCGTTCTCGGCGACGTGTTCCATGTAAGGATTCATTGAATGAGAAACTAAGCTCGGCTGCGCGAGCGAGACGAGCGAGACGACGAAAGGCCATTCTTCGTCGACGAGGCTAAAGGCTTGCGTGCTCTGTCTCGACTGATCGCAACGTTGCAGTTGCCCAGACGAGTCGTGGATATCATCGCCGATATTACCGAATCTGTTTACTAATTTATCGAGCTGTTTTTCGATTGAAAATTTTTTCGCCTCCGTCCGATCAAATTTGAAATTTCACTGTTTTCACGGCAGTCCACGCCATCGATCTTCTCAATGTTGTATTAATTACAATGTTATCCGTCCTACCGAGCTATTAGAATCGCGCTATTACGTTTTATACACATCAACTTGCAATTTTATGTATCACGGTTTTATGCGTTTCACTTTATTGTTTCGCGTTTATCTCCCTGGCGAGCTTTTCGAAGCGAACATTCTGGTTCGTCAAATATTATTATATTCACGTACATCTGGTTTCATTACGGCAATTAACAATTTACGGGATAGCGATGGACTTGTTGCAAATTGGCGTTCTATTTAAATTCGCTAATTACTGTTACGACATAACGATGATACGCTCGCTTCAGGATGAAACATTCATGTTGCAAGGTCCGCGTGTGGCTGTATGTTTTTCCTTCGAGCACAGGGGAATGGAATCGGGTATAATTAACGTACATGGAAGTATTATCTGATGGCGGCACAGTGACATCGATGCAACTCTGCGTAATTATGTCTCCTCCCCTCCCCCTCCCCCACCCCCACCCCCCAAGCGGTGTCGTGAATAACAAAAATGGGTTTACGTAAAAATATTAAGCCAAAGTTTATTAAGCCGCAGTCGACTATGCGAGAGAGAGAGAGAGAGAGAGAGAGAGAGAGAGAGAGAGAGAGAGATTGCCGGTATGTAATAATCATACCTAGCTTTGCTTCGAAGAGCACGGTTATCGCATAATCTCACGCATTTTTCTATCTCTCTGATGTAGCAAAATAGGAAAACATTAGACACAGATACCACATCCTGCATTACATTATTAATATGAATGAACACATGCGAATATATCATTAGGCTGCATTAGCAGTTAGACAGAACTTTTTA